TCTTCTCTTGCTCTGACCACGCTGCCCCTGCTCCCCTAGAGTTTGGCTCTCTGGATGCTGAAGCTCCTTTGTTTTCAAAGTCTCTAAATATCATTGATCCCTATGCCTTGCTAAGTTTTCACTTCCCTCCTGTGGCTTCTTGGCTTTCCACCCAAACCGGGTAGCCCCAGTGCATCATCTTTGGCAAGATTAGAGATGTGGCAGGGGTCTCGGCGTGAGAAGTGTCTGACTCAAGAGTCCTTACAAAGGGCAGAGCAAATGACTATTATTTCTGGACCCACTTCTGCCTTGGGGCAAAGGTCAGTGTTAGGATCCGTGATCAAAGGAGCGAGACTGATACAAAGCGAAGATCAAGCAAAGCTTTATTTTGCGCCAAGCATCGAGAATCAAACTGACCGGTCAGGGCCGTCTCTTGGAAAGAGGCGACCCCTCCCAACCTCACAGACGTACTTTTATAGAGGCCCTTTAGCCGGGCTATCCACAGGTAGCCAATGAGATTGCAATACACAGAGAAAACTGCACAGTCATGCTAAGTCTGCCACACACAGAAAAAACTGCTAGGTAACACACGGGTGGCCAATTGAATTTCAATTTACCCTAGTAGATATATGCGCGCCCCACTGATTGGCTGTCTTCACCTGGCCTGACCCGCCCTTGTATCTGGGCTTTGCAAGGAAGTTCCTCTGGGAGGGGCGGGGTCAATCTAAGTTTAGTGCCTAGGGTCAATCTAAGTTCACTACATAAACACAAAATGACTCCCTCTGGCCAACCAGGCCCTTACAGTCAGGACCGACTTCGTTGTCAAGATGACGTGGAACAGGGTCTCGATGAATGTCTGCCAGGACTCGGCCTGGCAGATAAGCCGGCAACGGCAGCAGTGGGACTCCCACGAGCACAGGAAAATCAGCACGTAATAGCCTCGTCTGCGTGCACCCGTGTGCGCGTGTGCGCGCTGGGGACGGGGACAGCTGGCCCTCCTCGAGGAGACTCTGTGGGCGAGTGGAGGGAAGGGATGGGAGGATGGAAGCTGCCAGGTCGGTGGGACCAGCTCCTCATCCAATTCATTCACTCAACATACTGCAAGCCCACGGAGCGCCCGGCCCTGCAGGAACCACGGAGAGGAGGAGAGCAAAAACAGACACCAAGCCCCGTCCTCGTGGCATTTCCCACCTCAGAAGCAGACCCAGACCATACATTCGGTAAATAAGATGTACATTAGCAGATGGCAGCTCGGGGTCTGGCTCCCGCCCCTGCTATGAACTGGCTGGGAGACTTCGGGCGAGGACCTGACCTTCCTGCATGGACATTAGCATATCGGGACAGAGGCAAGGTCACTGGGCAGGGGCGTCTACTAGGCGATGGCGGTGGTGGCAGCAGTCAGAATCATTTTCATGTACTGGGCTGTGGGGTTGGGAGCCAAGAGGACCGGGTCCTGGCTCCCGGCTGGCTGAAGGTGGCCAGTTCTATACCGAGTTCCATTTTGAAAAAAGCCGTGTTCCTTTCTCATTGTTTTTTTTTTTTTTTCTCATTTGTTTTTTTTCTCATTGTTTTTTCTCATTGATTTATTGCCCCAAAGTGTGTAACTTTTTTCTTCAAACTTCACCTTAAAATGTAAACTATTACTTCATGGATTGCTCATAGGAATGGAGTGATATTTTAACCCTCATTCTTTTTTATTATGGTAAAACATGCAGAACATAAAATTGACCATTCTAACCATTTTGGGGTGTTCAGTTCAGTGGCAATAAATAAACACATTCACACTATTGTGTGACCATCACCTCCTTCCATCTCCAGAATGTTTTTATCTTTCCAAACGGAAGCCCTACGTCCATTCAACAGTAGCAGCTAGCCAGCCCCCTGCCCCAGCGAACCCACCACTCCGCTTCTATCTCTGTGAATCCCACTATCCTGGGGACCTCGCCTACGTGGAATGGCAGAGTGTTCATTCTTTTGTGTTGGGCTTATTTCTCCTAGCATAAAGTCCCCGAGGCTTGTCCGTGGAGTACCATGGGTCAGAATTCTGAAGGGTATATTTTAAGGCTACAATCAAGCCCTGGGGTACTGGGGCTCTGAGTCAGATGCTCACAGGAAGGGCAAATGACCAACATATGACAGGATGGGGGAAGTGAGAAGGCTGTGGCGAAGGGCAGCTCTAAAATGACAACCTGTGACAGTCAGAGGGGCACTTGTCCCGGGCACTGCCTTTCAGGAAGTCTGTGGGGGATTTGTCCCCGGGCCCTTGAAAGCAGGACCCAGAGCCAACCCGGGTGTGTCTTTCAGTCTCAAGGCCTAGGAACTGTCCTCCCCGAAGGGGTCATGACCCAAGGGTTTCTTGAAGAACTTGAGGAGGCAGACACCATCGCCTGAAGTTTGCCCCAGAAAAGTCGGTGCTAAACCCAGAGAGATCTTGGCACAGACATGGCACCGAGTGCCAGGGGGCCCACGCCAGCACTCGATCGCACCAGCAGAGCCACGCAAAGAGGCCCCCGACTTAGCGTCAGCATTTTCTCTCTTTGTTTGAAGTGGGGTGAATGCACTCATGGTTGAGCCCGAGACAGTCGAAGCCTCTGTCTCCGGACAGCTGAAAGGAGCCAGGAGAGGGGGGAAATGCCCCAGGCTGTCCTCAGGAGGCCTCAGAGAGTCCTGGCTCTGTGACAGTGGACCTCCCCGGGTTCCAGGGGCGGGGCTCTACTGACTCGTTCAAGGTGTTGGACCACAGCCCCCTGATGCTCGTGCTTTCAGATTTTAGAAGATCAGCAGAGGCCACTACTTTCTTCCTTGGAGGTGGCCCCGGGCTTGGGCCATTTACAGGGTGGCAGTGATCACAAAGTCCACGCACTTAGCCAGCTTGACTCTAAGTCCCTTTCCCAGGGACAAGAGGACAGTGGTGGTGGTCACGAGATGGGGAGTCCTTGCTGGTGTACTGTGCCCAGCACCATCACCCATGGCTGTTTGTCTCCACAGGACAGAGAAGGGGATTCGAGCTCAGGGAGGCTCAGTCCCGTGACTGATGGCCAGCTGGCCTGGGACTGACACCTTGCCAAAGAATGGCTGGACAATGGATGAGCGGACTCATGACCTCGCAAGTTGGCCACCACCAATGCCCCGTCCCTGTGACCCAAAGGGATCTTAAAGTCCAATCACGTATCTCAACAGAACTCTTCCCTGAATCCTCGGAGAGAGGTGGTCTGTCCAGAGAGCTCCTGGCTGATGGGCTCTGAGGTCTGAGCACCTGCCCCAGGGAGACTCAGGGGTGTCGGCTTCCTTCTCACAAAGCTGCAGAGTTGGTGTCCGGGGCTTCCGAGTCACTGAAGTGCTGTCCTCTTACTGTCCTTTCCCTTTTGGGCTGAAACTGTCTTTAACCCACAGCTCCAGCAGGTTCTCATTCTAGGGGCAGTGCCGGGCTGTGGGAACCCTTGCCAAGGGCGCAGGCTCATTCCCCAGAGCACTCAGCTTGACAGGGAACGAGAGGGACTGTGCCAGCCTGGCCCCTTCTTCCCTCCTTGGCACCTGCACCCCACGTGATAGCATGGAGTTCGTTCCTTGGTTAAATGGTGAGAGAGAGGCAAGCGAGTGTTATTTGTCTGGCTAAGATACTGTGTTCTTGGGCCCTGGTATGGCCCACACTAGCCCAGCTCCACCTGCCCTGGGGAATGGAGGGCTGGTTCCGGGATCACTAGCACTGCGTTCCTGAAAGTATCAGCCGTCCTTTACGCATGCCTGACCTGTCCGCTCCTGGAGACTGGCACCCAGCAGATTCTAATTAATAATCATTGGATTGAATCAACTCATTTGTTGCTGTGCCCCTCTCTCCTTCCACAATGCCTCAGCATCCTTACACTCTCTCCTGGGACCACTCACACGGAGAGTCCCAAGAATTCCCATTTGAAAGCAAATGGTCCTCGGCAGCCTGGCGGGCACCCCCAGCAGAGGCAGGACACGGGCCAATGGTGCGTTCAGTCTGGCTGAGACAGGGTGCGATTTGGACATCCCTCTTGATTCATGGAAAAATAATCTACAAGAGCCCTTGGCTGGTGTCATACGGATTTGCCTTGAAGGAATGACTTTGCATTTCCAAAGGGACTTGGAAAAATTACCCCCGTGGTCTCCATTGGTGAAAAGTGACCCTTTCATGAAACGAGTTGTTTCAAAACAAGAGTGGTGGGTGTGTGTCGACGTGTACGTGTGTTCTCAAAGGGAATCTGATCTCAACCCAGCCCTGACCTCAGCCACGTGTGGAAATTAACTGGAGTTTAATATGGGCAGTAACCGCTGAAGGCCTGATTGGGAAACAGCTACTAGATCTCGTTACCCACATTCTTTCTTTTTAATCCTTCCAGAAAATACTTTTTAAAAATTTTATTTATTTACTTATTTGAGAGAGAGAGAGAGGGAACACAAATAGGGGGAGTGGGAAAGGGAGAAGCAGGTTTCCCATTGAGCAAGAGATCCAATGTGGGGCTGGATCCCAGGACCCTGGGATCATGATCTGAGCCAAAGGCAGACGCTTAATGACTGAGCCACCCAGGTGCCAGAGCAAGCACTTTTAAAGGGTCTACATTGGCCACTATTGAAATGGCAGCCTGTGTAGAGGAGGAACCTGAAGTCATCTGTGAAATGGAGCCGAAGACACGTGCCCTCTCTGGCCCACAAAAGGTTTGTGAGACCCAAGTGAGAAAATGTATCTCAAAATCCTCTATACAGTACCTTGTTACTGTCAGTCACTTCCTGGGTATGCTCTGCACCTGCCAGGCACGTGGCTCAGTGGGGGATGGCAAGGGGACTAGAACCAGTGCCTCATTACAACCTCTGGGGTCAGCCCTCGCCCAGGCTGCCTCAGCTGCCCTCTGCTTCCACACCCCTCACCCATCCAGAGAGAACCAAGCCCCGTCTACTCCTGGCTGGTGAAACCACCAGTCTCTTTGACGTGACTTCCACTCCCCCTCACCAGTTCCAGAAAGCAGTCTGATGACAGTCTCTTGTTCCCCTCTGCTAAGCTTCCCCAAGAAGCATTCCTTTCTGGATCAGGACGCAGGACAGAGCTTGGTGCCCCTCTTCCTTTGCCTGCGCCTGCACGGCATCATCAAAGGTAAGCCTCCTGGGAAGCTACTGGGGACTCACCCCATCCCTCAGCCACTCCTGGGAAAGACCCAGTAGGCATTGTTGAAGGAACAGGCTGAGCGATGGCGTTGTCACTTTTAAGCTGTGTGACTTTGGGAAAGTAACGTACCTTTCTGGTCTCAGTGTCCTTGTCTAAAGTGGGGGATAGTCAGAGCTTCCATGAAATATGATAGTGGGTGAAGGGCCCTATGGATTGCAAAAGCGTGTGCAGCTGCCAAAGGCTGCGTGAGTGTCCTCTAGCCACGGGTCCCACCTCTTAGAGTAGCATCCCCTCCAGGTCAAGCGGCTGGGGGGAAGCCTGTGAGTCTGTGCTCCATGCCTGGCTTTCTCAGCCTCTTGTGCTGGGCCTGGCAGAGGCCTCTCTGTCTTGGAAAGAGGCAGAAGCTCGTGGGGAATGTGTTTGGGGCTGCCCAGGTGGCCCCCGGGAGAACTTTGCGAATGAAAGGACATTATCTAGATATGATGGATAGCTCTAAAGCCCAGGGATAGTTGGTGGACCCCAGCTAGTTCTGTCCAAGTTGCTTCTAGACACCCCAAAGACACCAACGATCAGACCCCAACCTGCCCTACTAGGGCAGGAGTTTGGCCAGGGGGCTGTGAACACTGGGGGAAAATGCTCGGTGCCATCCCATTTGGGCTCCACGCACCTTATGATCTCCGGGACCCTGGTTAGACCCTCCAGTCTTCAACCCTCAACTTCCTCCTTTCTCCATAAATTAGACTTCTGCCAGTCTGTGATGAATATACTATAAAAATGCTCTCTTTGTGTTTCTTCCAAGGCAAAAATCTGGAGGAGTTAAGGCACATTAATTTCTTCCCGGAGTCCTGGTTGATCCGAGTTACAGCCAACCATTACCACGCAGTGAGTTTCCAGCTCAGCAAGGAAATAATTATTGAAATTTATTGCTTTTCTGACTTGGCTTTTTCTGGAGATGTGTTTTGCATCTGAAACCCCTGGGCTATTGAGGTCGAGATGGTTTTGGCTCCTCCTCTGGGGCAGTGGGGAAAGCCAAGCCTGGAGGGCTAGAGGGGGAGGGGACCCCAGGCTCGGAACCCAGGCACCCATGGCCATTGACCCAGAGCGTGAGATGGGGTCCGGGAACACTGGGTCTATGGCCCACTGGACCAAACTCCCGAGACACGCATGTAACATGTGCTTGCTATTGGGAATTTTTTAAATGCAGAGAAATTGAAAGAAAAGACATATCCTCAGACCCATCGCCCAGAGACAGCGCCTGCTAAGATCTCATTGTGTTTATTGGCTGTAAACTCTTCCACCAAGAACATTGGCTCTAAACATTGCTACTTTGCCTTTCCTTTAGAGTGGAAAATTTGTGGTGTTCCTAATTGTTAACTACTATAAATGACTGTATGAGAAACGTATTTGCACATGATAGTTTATTTTACCATACTTAGAATTGTTTCTTTTTTATTATTATTATAAAAGATTATATTTATTAGAGAGAGTGACAGCAAGAGAGGGGAATACAAGCAGGGGGAGGGGGAGAGGGAAAGCAGGTTTCCTGCTTGAGCAGGGAGCCCAATGCAGGCTTGATCCTAGGACCCTGGGATCGTGACCCAGGCACCCCAGAATTATTTTCTTACAGACGATCTTAAGAATAGAAAATACTGGCCCAAAAAGGAACATTCATTTTTGTTCTTGATACATATTAAAAATTTAGGACCAAATTACTCTTTCTCCAGGAATGAATGAGCTTACTTCCCTTTGTACATGTTCAGCAATGTGGGGCATTTTTATTTTGGATCACTTTTGTTAATTGAGAAGTGAACAGTGAAATCTCGTTTTTCTCTATGCATTTCTTTTATTACTAGTAAATATGAATATTTTTTCCATGTGGCATATCCCCCTTTGTGAATTGTCCACGCAAACTGTTGTACTTCTTGTGTTTCTAATCATGCATTTTTAGGGATGAAGTAGGGCAGTGTTTGAGTTCTGAGGATTTATGAGTCACTGGTTAAAACTCAATTCAGCCCAACAAACACCTATTGTCATGTGCAAACCACAGTGCCCAGTGCCCCAGCACAGCAGATAATGACTCCATGGAACCGAGCGTCTCTGGACATAACTCAGATCTAGGCTCTAACAGCAGAGTTAAGGCGGGAGACTGTCCCTGGGGCTGGACACCTCAGGAAGTCCCCCCTGCACCCCACCCTTTCTGTTCTTCTGACCCAGCCCACCTCCTTCCTTTTGCCCCCTGCTGCCAGTGTCATGCATGCTGCCACGCGGGATCATGCTTGTGACTTTATGGCCACCATCATCCTCTACAAGTGATCAGGCTATTTATGTACACATTTTATTTCCCCGGGGAGACTGCTCAGGCATGTTTCCCATTCTCATCTTGGCATCTTCTCAAAGCATTGAGACAGGACCTGGCGCATGGTACGCTTCAACAAATCCTGCAGCCTGGCTGGGTGGCCGAGTGTGGGATCCAGAGACAGAACTCTTTCTCAAGCATGGTCGGGGTTGTGGGGTCAGCGAACCAACGTGCAGATGGTGAGAGGCGCTGGTGTCCAGGTAGCTCGTGGGCTTCTCTTTCAGCTGGAGAATGGAGGTGACATGGTCCACGTGAAAGATCTCGCCACCCAGGCTATGAGATTTGGGCTGCTCTTTAACCAGGTACAGACCACTGGGCCCAAGCGAGGGGAAGGACCGTCCCCTTCCACACTTGGTTAAGAACTTCTGTATTATCGCTTCTTCCCTCCCTTAGCAAGACCAGGACAGAAAAGGAAATTGTCGTGTCTCCTCCTGCATGTTCACCACACCCTAGGAAATGAAGTTCACAAGTCAGGGGCCTGGGACAGGTGTGCACATCCAGAATTTCTCCTTGAGGGGGACCAACTGTCCTAGTTTTCCAGGGATGGAGGAGATTCCCTGGGATGCAGAACTTTCTGTTCTAAAACCAGGGAAGGCTTGGACAAACTGGGATGAATTGGTCATTCTCTTCTCCACAAACATCAAGACTTGCCAATGGCTCAATGAGAGATTCCACTCCAAGGCTGTGTTTACACTTGCAAGGGGGAACCTACTCTGGGTGGATATTTTGATGGGTCCCTCCCCCACATCCAAGCAGCAGGAGTTAGGGAGCTTGGCTGCAAGGCATCTGGGCACTCAGTCCCTAAGGGAGTATGCAAGGCCAGGGACTGCATTCTATCTTGGGCTACCTGGGATAGGCAGGTTCTCCAAGAAATTGCTGCTCTCTGATTTTCTAAAGCCTCCCCAGTAGTGATCTCAAAATATTTTGTGTTCCAGGGACTTGAGGCTCTGAATCTATCATCAGAAACTCCCCTCTGGGTCAGCATTGGAAGGGCTGGGTCTCCCCCCTTGCTTGCAGAGACCTGCCTAAGTAGACAGACTGCCGACCTCAGGGTTCAGGACACCTCACGATACCATGAGTATGGAGTGTCTTTTAGGCCCATTAAATTGGAGCAGATGCTTTATTCCAAAGGTCTGCAAGCCCCTGAACATCTAAGAACATGCCTAATTCATTCTTCACCCCACCAGAGGACACACAGAGCAATTAATATGTCACTGAGTGCTAACCCGAGGGATTTGTGAAATCACTACAATTTGGCTCTTCTAGGCTAAAATTGCTGTTGTGTTTTAAACCAGCAGTCAAATTAGTCACTTCTGTTTTAGCTAGAATTTTTTTACTGTGTCCTCATGCCATTGAACACTGAAGATTTCTTCCCTGCTCCTCTTGTTGTTTATCCTTCCCAATTTAGGAGTATACAACTCATTCAGAAATGATTGCCGTATATGGATTCTTCTTTGAGATAAAGGGAATCAAACATGATACTACCTCTTACAGTTTTTACATGCAGGTAAGAAGGACAGAGCCCAGGAAAGGTGTGTCTCTGAAACGGTCTTTCAGATTCATATTAAATCATTATTCAATTCATACTAAATCAATAATAATTGATTAATCACTCGTTAATAATGACCATGGAATGTCTTGTAAGCCTGATATTAATCATGTTTCTACAACATGATTTGATTTGTACAACCTTGGGAACTTGCTATCATTGGCCTGTTTAATCGATGGAGATTTCCAAACTGAAAGTCTTCATATTCTAATGGCCTCTATTGACAAAGCTGGGGTTAAATTCTAGATTCTGACTCCACTTTCGGGGCTCAGTGCATCATCAGTTTGTACATGGTTGGTGATCCTTTATTGATGGCCCCTCTTTGGTGGAGGTAACACATATTGCCCACAAGGGAAGAGGGAATTGTCTTGTTGAGAGAGTCAGAGCAGGGCGGTGGACAGGACACTGGTGAAGTCAGGAAGGCAGATGGCTTCGCCTCAGTGCTCCTGGTAGACTTCTGGAAGAGCACTGTGTTGAAGATCAGAGAATCAAAGTCAAGCTGCTTGGCGAGCTGTGTGACCTTGGCAAGCCGATGAACCTCCTATGTCCAGCATCCTGAGCTTTAAGATGGAGAAGGTAAGAGGACCTACCGCACTTGACTATGGGCAGTATCACTGTGTTAATTTGTACAAAGGCCACTGGAACAGGGCCTGACCCATAAAGTGCTCTATGATGACTATGATGACATTGATCATGACAGATATGACCAGGGACTGCTGTGTTCCACTTAGGATTTGCTTTATAAGTCTCTAAGACATCAAGCTCCTGGAGAAACCATATCTCATTCATCTTTTTCTTATCACTACTAAACATAGTACCTGGAATGCAGGGGAGATATGTTTGTATCATGAATGGATAAATGGACAAATGCATGAGTGAAGAAAAGGGAGTTTTTAGCCCCAGCTTTGCCACCCCCCATCGCATACCTTTGAGTGAGTCACATCTCTTTCTTGCGTCAGTTCTTGGTCTTCAGTGACTCAGGCACTTCCCTACATAATGGATTTTACTGGATGGGAGAGATGAATTCTGTAACAACGCCCGTTGAAATGCTCATGTGAATACTATGTTGGTTTTTAAATTCAGGCCAAGCAATCGTGAAGACCTTCCAATTCAGTACAGCTTGACTTAAAGGCATTTTTCTGGGTTCACCAAAGCCCAGTCTGTGAGTCAGTGGTTTTGCAGAGTGAGGGCTCTGCTACTAGCTGACTCAGCAGCAGCAGCTCTCAGGAAATGGAGCCCTGGGGGGGAATACCCCTTTGCTCTGGGCACACATTATGCGGGAGAGCCAATGAACCAGGTGTCGCTAACTCTGGGTCACCCCACTTTCAGTTCCGCCTAAGGTGGATCACCCTCTTTGCAGAGACTAAAGCACACTGACTTGGGGTTCCCGACCTTGCTCTATGAGCACGGCCCTGTTAGCCTAAGAACGGAGCGCTTGGTGAAGTACGAGATCAGAGCCCAGACCCTGGTGGACGGCAAGTGGCAAGAGTTCAGGACCAATCAGATCACCCAGAAGTTTGGGTTCGTCAAGCCATCCTGCAAAAGCCATGTGAGTGTCTGTCTTTGACTTTTCTCCTTAATATCCTTTGTGCTCTTTCTCTCCTCCACCCCTTGTTGGGGATCCCTGGCTTTACGTCTCCAGAGATCTCCAGGGGATGCTTGCTCACTTTCTAAAAGATAATCACAGCTCTACATCACGCTAGAGAGAGAACTTGAATGAAAAGCTGAGGAACATTGAAAACTCTCACTATAATGCCAGATCCATTTTATAAATGTCAAAGGGTACTGTGCTGGAGGAGCAGAGACCTGATGGAGTGTTATCTGTCCCCTCCACCTCCACTGTCACCTACACATGGCTTGGGATGTGCACCAAGATCCGTGGCCTGACCTACCTGCCTCAGTGGCCACGCCAGCATCCAGGTGATTCCCTAACTGGCCCAGGTCCTGACAGGTGAAATCCAAAGATGGCCAGGGAGCCTGGCTGTAGTCCTAGAAGGAACCTGGGAATTCCAGAATGTCCGGGGGCCTCCCTTGCTGTCCTGTAGGGAATGGGACTCGGCTTTAAGCCAGGGAATTGTTCCCAGTCCTGACTGCACATCAGAATACTGGGCCCTTTGCATGCTCTACAGCCCTGAGCCCCACCCAGCTCCTTAGACCAGATAGGCCACCGTATGGCCCAAGCATTGGTATTGTTTAAAGCTTCCCAAGCTATTCTCTGTGATGTCAGAAGCCAAAATAACAATTTCCCTCATGGAGGTGGGAGCAGGGTGGCTAGGATATTGGCTGGGAGAGAATATAAAGAGGATTTCTGAGGTGTCTGAAATGTTCTTTACTGTGGTCACCCAGGAAGACTCATTCATGAAAATTCACCAAGCCAGACCCTTAAGAAGTGCGTATTCTATTGTATTTATGTTATACTTAAATTTTTTAGAGTTTGTTTTAAAGACTTTCCCCAGGTGGTTCTCATGTGCAGCCAGAGTTGGGAATGACTGCCATACACAACTGTGAAGTCCTCTCTCTCCCTCGTCCCTCCTCAAGAGGGCAATTGTGTTTATCCTAAAAGCCCTATTTGCTTTGTTTTGTTTTATCTTTTAGACCCTGAAAGTCCAAACTGTGGGCATCCCAATCTATGCAAGTTTTTCATTCATCTTCCCAACATCTTGACAATTTCCAGAAGGATCTATGGGATTTTTCCTTCTTCCACCAGTCTGCATAAAAGAAAATAAAATGACATTGAAGGGACCACTCAAGCCTTCAGCTGACTTTCCTAGCTGGCCATGGTCTTAGTAGAACTTTTGCCCACTGTCTCAGTCGGGCTGCTGTCACAGTGTACCACAGGTGGGGGAACTTATAAACAACAGATGTTTATCACTCACAGTTCTGGAGGCTGGGTGTCCAAGATCAAGATGCTGGCATATTCAGGGTAGGTTCTGGAGAAGACTCGCTTCCTAGTTCAGAGACAACCATCTTCTTGCTGGGTCCTTGGAGGGTGGAAGGGACTAGGGGACTCTCTGAGGCTACTTTGTAAGGGTTAGAGTGGTGTCCTTGTGACCTAATCACCTCACAAAAGCCCCACATCCTAAAACCATCAGCTTTGGGGGTTAAGATTCAACACAGGAGTTCTAGGGAGACTTTCAGACCGGAGCACCATGTTTTTATCATATGTGGATGGAAAATACCAGACCTGAGTCTGTTCACCATCCTTCACCTCAGAGCACCTGGAGGCCAGCCCTAACTTATTGCCTTCGCAGGAGCACTGTGATGGGAGTGTCAGCAGTTGACAACATTCTCCAACTGGGAGTACCAAGCGCTCCCCTTTTCGTGATGCTTCTTTACCTGCTGACCAGGACACACCTGACCTCTGTCCCTGCAGTTTTGGGGAGGACAGGGAGGGAAGGGAACAATTACAAGGTAGAGAGTGACTTGCAGACCATCTGCCTTTTTAAATGGAGCTCAGTAGTTTAGAGTAAGTGAGTTAGAGAGCCTTTCTTCCCACTTTGTAGATTAGTTTTCTATTGCAGTGTAGCAAAGTCCCATGAATTCAGGCTTGAAATAACATACATTTATTATTTCACATTTGTTGCAGGTTGGGAGTTCAGGTAGCTTTGCTGGGTCTCCTGTTCAGGGTCTCCCAAGTCTAGGGGCAGCAGAGCTGTGTTCTCATCTGAAGACATGACTGGGGAGAACCCATGTCCAAGTTCATGGAGTTGGCAGATTTATTTTCTTGCAGCTGCATAACTGAGGGCCTGGCTGCTTACTGGCTGTTGGGAGAAGAGCATCTAGGCCCCAGTAACCCCCAAATTCCCTGCCGGCCATCTCTCTCTATAGACATTTCAAAGCATGGCTCTTTATCCTTCAATGCCCATAGGACAGTCTCTTTGATGCTAGTCTGCTAAGACAGAGTCTTGTAGCTTGTAAGGTAACTTAGGAGTGACATCCCATCACCTTAGCCATATTCTCTGGACTAGAATTGAGTCACATGTTCCACCCACACTCAAGGGAAGAGGATTATACAAGGGGGTATCCTGAAGTGCGTCCACCACAATGGGTTATCCAATGTCTTTGGAAGAGTGATAGAGCATCCTTGATACTGCGCAGACAAAAAGGTAGGTAAATTTAGTCTAACAATCACCTTAGAATCAGACATGGGCCTAGGGAAATCCTTCCAGCAGAGGACTGATGCTCTGTACAGGGTAAAATGGGAGGGAGAGAGGCTGGTGGGAAGATGGGAAGGCAGCCCAGCGGAGGCTTTGGAGGAGAGGAACAGATGCATTCATTCCCATGTGCATCCCCCCTTCTCTTCTGCAAGTCTCATCTCATCTCCCTCAACAGTTTGCTTCTGGCCAGGTCCAGATCATGAGAAGGAGTGGCAGGGGTTTGAAGGACAAGAGACTGGGAGAAGCCAGATATTTTCAGCAATGGCTGTGTCTCCTTCATGGTTTCTGCCTGGCAGCCTCCTGCCATGGTCCCACTGCCACCAAATGGCCCTGCTTCTGGGTCTGTGTCCCTTCCGCCCGAGGGGCAGTGCAGCCTTCCTTCTGCTGCTGGTCTCTGGGCTTCCCCCTTCTCCTGTTTGACTTCTTAGTTCTTCCTTCATCCCCACAATCAATTCTCTGCATCATATTTATACTCTTTGTAATCCCTGGAGTCCCATGTGCTTTCCAGACAAATCCTTGACATAAAGGGTTTTGAGAAGTTGGTCCCCGTGGCGCAGTGGGATAGATTGTTGAAAAGCACTGCCTCGATTACTCTTCCCATCCCCGCAGGGCTGAGGCAAGGGTCTGACAAGTCAGGCACTCACCTTGCACCAAAATACTCAGGAATTTAGATAAATAATACTTTTTAAAGGTTTTATTCATCAGAGAGTAAGAGCACAAACAGTGGGAGCAGCAGAGAGAGAGAGAGAGAGAGAGAAGCAGGCTCCCCGCTGAGCAGGGAGCCCAATGCAGGTCTCTATCCCAGGACCCTGGGATCATGATTTGAGCTAAAGGCAGACGCTTAACTGATTGAGACACCGAGGCTCCCTGTGAGATAAGTGATATTTTAATAAATAAAATAAAGCCACTAAAAATCTATGATGCAGGCTGGTGGGTTACCATGAGGTGAACATGTCTCTAGGAGAAGCTCCCGGATCAAAAACAGAATGAGCCTGGTCCACACCCCAGACAACCCCCTCCTGGTCACTACCCCTGGAAAGTAAACACTATCCCAACTGTCGCCATTTATTAGTTTGGCCATTGAGTTTCAATATTGAGTAGACAGTGTCATCCAGCCCATCCTCTTCTGTGCCTGCTTGCTTATGTTCAACATCTCGTTGAAGAGGTTCATTTATGTTTCCACAGGGAGCTATGGTTTCTCTCCCAATAAGCACGAGAGTTTCATTTTTCATTTTTTAAAACATGAAATGTTATTTCTAAAAATACAGGCTTGTCAAAGAAAAGAATAAGAAAACACAAAGAAGAAAATAAAAGCCACTGGGACTCCCATTACTCAGAAGACTGGCAGGCAACCTCTTGGAAATCTTTTTAGGGACACTTATAGGTTTTTTGCCACTCAAAAAGCACATCTTCCTTAGAACCTGACTTTTTTTTCCCCTCAAGAATGAAACAGAATGTTTTCTTTAACAGAGGAGCACGGTATTTGGGGAAGAAGACAATGTTGTTTTTGCCTCGCCTCCAGACTAATTGTGCTAAGTCAGAAACATCGCTCGTCGCTTACCCTCAGTGAACATTCCTTGTCTATAAAAAGGGCCTAAACCAGCGCTTCTGCCTCCCCCTGGGGACCATGAGCTGCTGGGTGGGACAGTCCCTCTCTGGGCCACCAGCTGCTGCGCAGCCATGGGGACAGGGCACCGTGCTGCTGGCTCTAGAGAAAGAGCAGCCACATGGCATTTTTCCACACTCCTGTGGGGTGACAGAGAAGATAAGAACTAGAAACTTCTGAAAAGCAAGTCTGCAGTTGCCCAGGAGAGAAGAAGCTGTTTGGAGGCTCTGTGACAGGCATGACTGCCCACCTTCTAAGCAAAGCAAGTTCTAGCTCAGTCCTGTGGAATATGCAAACTCGTGATCCTGGGGTTGGCAGGAGTGGGAGAAACTTGCAACACGGCAGTGCCCAAAATGCCTCCCTGGGGTGAATAGTAAAGCTGCGAGGGGTCCAAAAGCCAGGGAGGTAGGAGGAAGGCAACCCGCGAAAGGATGGGGTAAGGGGCTAAAGGGCACGTAGGGTGCCATCCCATGGGAAATGCCATGTGGTTCTGACCTGGGCATTGGGACAGGATGAGGGCGGTGTCATTGGGAAGGTAGCCCATCATTGGGCTTTGGAGGGTGGGCTGTGTCCTTGCAGGGGAGAACGGGTAGGGCACAGCACCCTGGGGGAGCTCAAACAGCGGGGAGTGGCAGGTCTGCGACTCTTGAACTGAAGCCCCACTGGGATCCCCTGGGAGCTGGCGCAAGAGCAGGAGCCGGGCTCCAACTGCGAGAGGCTGACCTTGTGGTCTAGGGGCCCCCCAGGGGACGTGCGCTTTAACAGGTTCCTGGAAGACCCTGAGGCAGGACGTCTGCTGCTGCGCCCAGAGACTCCGAACCTGAAGGTGTCGAGTCCCCCAGCAGGGTCCCCCTCCTTACCACACACACCCGACTGCCTCCCTTACCCGGCCGAGAACGATCTGACACCACCACCAAGCCTGTGAAGGGAGCAGAACCTCAGGGGGGTGCCCTAGCATGGGGGAGAACCGCCCAGGGTAATCCAGAGCCCACCCGTTTCCACTAGGGGGCGAGGTCTGCCTCAGAAACGGGAGCCAGACTTTTCGAGGCAGAAATTTGCAACCAAATACTTGATCTTGCCAGTCTTCTTGCTTTGTAGTTGAAAGTGAACTTTGTACATCCTGGGTGAGGTGCGGGTCCTTTGAACGTCTACAATGCTCGCATCATAACATCTCTGAGCTCAGGAAGCATGAGTCTTGAGACAAAAAAATTCTTAAAATGATGTTAAAAGCTCCTCTTTGTGAGAACGTCCCAGACTAGAATTTTAAAACCTACAGTCACGACGCCCAAAGCAGTGACGAGGTGTGCTGGTCAGCATAACCTGCTGTGTGCCACATCCACAAACACCTCTGTCTTTGCTCTTACTTTTTTTTTTTTTTTTAAAAGATTTTATTTATTTATTTGACAGAGATCACAAGTAGTCAGAGAGGCATGCCAGGGGTGGGGGGGGGTGTTGGGTGGAGAAGCAGGCTCCCTGCTGAGAAGAGAGCCCGATGTAGGGCTCGATCCTAGGACCCTGGGATACGGGGCTCGATCCTAGGACCCTGGGATCATGACCTGAGCTGAAGGCAGAGGCTTAACCCACTGAGCCACCCAGGCACCGCTGTCTTTGCTCTTCTTAACACCACATCTGGCTCACCTCCCCGGATCCCCTCCAGGAGGGATGGAGAGAAGACCCTCTGCACACAGCAACTCCTTGAGGTCTTGAAGTCAAACAGAAGAGGGTTTGGGTACTGGCTCTGCCCTCTACTTGCTATGTAGCCTTAGGCAAGTCACCTAACCTCTCTGAGCCTCAGAATCTGATCTGAAGTTGGCAAGAAATCCTGTCGTTTTGTTTGTTTGTTTAGATTTTATTTATGTATTTGTCAGAGGGAAAAAGCGCAAGCAGGGGGAGCAGCAGGCAAAGGGAGAAGCAGGCTCCCCACTGAGCAAGGAGCCCAATGCGGGGCTCCAGCCCAGGATCCTGGGATCACGACCTGAG